ATTAATTACCGATCGCCTCAGCTAGCCAATGGGAATTTAGCCGGCGGTTCGGCCGGCGAAAATCGAAAACATGGGGTGATGGTTGCAGGCCCACTATCAAGTTCCCTTGGGCCTGCACGCAGGCTAGGGAAACAACGGCATAATTCATGTTTGACGGCAGTAATGTCTATTTATAAACGTTGAGCGGAGTACTGGATCCAAATGTGCTGATTTTCGTGCAACATTCGCCAGTGTTTCCCAAAGCCTCAGCAAGCCTCCACCGAGGATTGCAGGTTCAGGGTTGGAGATTGGCACAACCTACAATCTCGTACCCAGAGCAATGCCTGTGCGCGGGCTAGGAAGGCATTGGCTCTGGGGAAATTGAATTTTTCCTGTACTGTGATTGATTTAACGTTCATCAATCGTCCATGCCGACAAAGAACCGGAACCCCTAAATTTAGGGGTTCCGGTTGTCAATTTCCCCAGACCCAATGCCTTCCTAGCCCGCGAACAGGCATTGCTCTGGGTATGAGATTGCACAACCTATGCAAAAATTAGTACACTAAGCGCACATGTGCCCGCTCAACCTCGTTCCCAGGGCTTACTACGGGTGAACCGGATAGTGATTTTTACTATACGGCCGGATACCGGATTTGCCGGATATCTAAAAAAATTTAGATGCGAGCACGATGTAAACAATTAATGTAAACTAATCGCTGATTGGCTCATGGACTTATTGGCTCATGGACTTAATTATATAAGCTCGTCGCTGAATGGCTAGTATGTGTCAACACACGCTACGGTACATTTGCGATTGCAATATATCAATTGTGTTTCGCAGATACAAAAACGTTCAAGTTTTACTCTCGTTCAAGTTTTACTCTCTACATTTCTCTGGTATTTTTTATCTAATCATGAAAACTACTAACACGATATCTTGAACCTTCAACGACATCTAAAACAAAAACCTACCAATTTTATATACTTTGGTCAATACATAACAAAATATGGACCAAAGTTATACCTTTTGTACAATTTTATAAAATTCATACCTTTTAAAATCTTTAAGGACCTCAGTAAATCCGTTTTTATCACGCTTACACATTCCTGTAATTTATCACCTATACAAGAAGTATTAATATATTTTATTAAGTAAACAGAAATTTGCTCCACAGTAATGACATATGTTTTACATTCATTAAATTATATTTTACCTAGATATTTTTATTAAGATTAAAGCAAGGACTTTTACAGTATTTATTTAATTTGCAACCAACATCGATGAAGATGAAATTAATAAACTTAAATGTATCGATACATTGAAATGCAGATAAATGACCCAAGTGTTTTGCAAATGAAAAGATATGATGGCAACACCTTGTAGAGTGATTATTCTTCGAGTATGAACTTCATAGCATGGTTCTTCCTAAGCCATTATTGTACAATCACGCGCACGTAACCAGTCAGTTAAAAAACCCAGTTTACGGGTATACGGGTGATAATAAAAGTATACCCGTAAATTGGGGAACGACTTGTAACTTAAGAAATGCAAGAGAATGGTAACTTTCGCTGTTGAGGCTCGCCATTGATTGTTAAAAACTTTGACAAGCATATGTGCATTATTTAATTGGATAAGATGTTGAAAATTTTTACTGTTTATACAGGCCACAAATAGTAAACAGAAAACACCCGTACACGTTTGTCTTTTACGTGTAGACAACGGTTTACCGCGGGGAAACGGGTAGAAATTATGGGTAAAAATGCTGACATAAAAATTGGTAAACAAAATGGCGATACTCGAACCCGTAAACCGGAACTTTGGTATCTTAACCTCTGTAGTAATCGTTGAAAGGGTCACGTGCCGATCCAATATTTTACGATATTGTACAGGAACTTATTGGACAGTTGCGAATCGAGGCTTTTTTCATGGTCCCTCAACCCTTTTCAGATGTTTTGTCAATTTCAAACATACGACAAGCGATATGCTAGAAAAGAATTTGGGACATTAATACAGTTTTTCTACCAGTTTTGTTTAAAATTATAAAAACTTGTCAAAACTCGTCTTCGCGAAATTAACTTGTTTGCAACAGCCTCGACGTTAGTAATATTATTTTTTCGTTAAAACTACGTCAATTTTCCTTTAAAGGGGCAGTGTGATCAAAATTTTTATTTTCTTAAACGAAAGTGCTCGTAAAACTGTATAATAACTCGTTTTGAAGCTTAGTTCTTGAGATATTTCATTTTGTTTGTAACCATGTGACGTCATCTACTCAATTACATATATAATGAGATATCAGTAATTGTTATGTATTTTGCTAATGTTTGCTATTTTTATCAAAATATTTCGAAAGATGCGGCGCGTTTGTTAAATTAACCTACATCATTAAGCATAATGTGTTTTTTAACAAATCGATCAAAAATAGCAAAGATACACAACAATAACTGATATCTCATTATACATGTAATTGAGTAGATGACGTCACATGGTTACAAACAAAAGAAATATCTTTTCTTAAAGTTTGTTCGTTCACTGCAACCAGGTATATCAGAAAAACATCGGACCGAGGTCTTTTTTGCACAGACCGAGCCCCGTAGGGCGAGGTTTGTACAAAAATATCGAGGTCCGATATTTCTCTGTACATACCGAGCAAGCGAGGTTAATAAAAAGTTTATTATTTGCCATTTATTGGCATTTATACTTGAAAAAAACAAGTCATGATTTGAAATGCATAGTAGTAGCGTGGTAGCATATTAGTAGCGACGAAAACCAAAAATATCAATGTAGGCCTATCCCTTCTTTTCCACTAAACACCATTCGCAGATATCTTATTAATAACCAATTAAACTACAATTTCACATTTTCAATTAGTTTTCCTGTTTGGTTTTAAGTAATGGCCCCCCCCCCTACATGGACAAATAATGGACCGCTGAAAGTGTTTCTCAGCCAATCACAGTCCGGAAATGATGCTTGCCATAAAAATAGGGACGTAAACACCTTAAAATATTTCCAAGAGGCATATACATGCATGTGCGATATTATCCTGTCCTTCATGACATGCTGATTTTGTATGCATTGTAAGCGCTAACCCTTGGTTAGTATTTAACTCGCTGTTTTGGTTTGTGTATTTCTGCACGTTCGTTCGTTCCAGTACTTTATCCAGACATGATTTCTGAACAGCCGGGCGGAATTAGTGCCCTCGCCCCGGGCTAACGGCCGGAACGGCGCTTCGCGCCGTTGGCTCGGGGATTAAACATAAATTATCTTTCGTATATAAAAAACCAAACAAATGTAATATTAATACTCTCTGTCGCATCAAAGTACTACAAAGGGCAGGTCAATTTTGATGCAATTTGATAAATTTCACAACCGGCAACTAAAATGAATTCATATCAGCATCAAACTTACTGTATCATTTGCAAATAATAAATAGACATGGTGTTTCACAAATCAAAAGTGATACTATTATTCGCTATTCAAAATTATAAGGCAATTAAATCGAATTATTTTCACCAAATTACAAGAGCATGCCATTTTGCACATAATCATGTATAAAGACTTGAATTTTGATAAGTGGTCAGAAAAAGGGAATGGCTATAATCACCTTCTTCAAAGAAAACAAAGACATAACAAATAGTGGTATTCATTGCTGTGGATGTCTCATTGTACAATCTGTCTTTCATAACCCTTGAAGGTAAGATTACTCTATGGCTTAATTCATCACTATGAGTATGGACAAAAATTTGCATGGATAAAATTTGATCCTACTTTACCTTGGCCAAGTGTTTGTATAATTTGAATTGAAACTTGTGCAGCATTTAGCAAATTTATCAGCAAGTCATCATATGAACAATCTAAGTATGCCTTCCATCGAGTAGGCAATGGGCCATACAGAGGGAACTGAAAGGAAATAGTAATTGTAAATTTGTACAGGTACATCACATTTGCAAGAATGCTTCACTCCTATGGGGAGACTAATTACATTCTGCAGAGAGAATTAGATTGGAGAGCCTAAAGTGTTGTGACTTATGTAACCAATCATATTGTATTATAACCATTAACTGCAGTAGTAATATAGACTTCTCTCTTGTCGTATTTTGAGAGTCTTTTCTATTGTGTACACGGTTGGGGGCTGGGATGAGATAGATAGGAAAAGCAAGATGGCGGATGTTTTCATATACGATTCTTATACGTTGATGTTGTTGTAAAAATAAAACAAAGACAACACAAAATTGGCGACGAGGATTAACAAAATTACTTCTATACGAAACGTGTAGTCTTTTAAATGTTTCAACTACCGGCAGTTACGCCATTTTCGGTCTCTTCGGAGTATACAACGCTCGGGGACTGGTTAAAACACTGTAGTGTCTGAAAGGCAAGCTAGCCAAATGGAGATGCTTACGCTTTTCTCTGCATCTCACAGCCAAGATTCTGCAAGTGCTGTTGATGCCTATAGCTTAAAAAGCACACACATTCAAGTCGTCATCTCGGACAACGTCGAGGTAATACTGTTGGCCTCACATGCTTCTGCTGTGGTTTGTCTGGCCACAAAGCCAAATATCCTTCCTGCCCTGCAAATGGGAAGAGTTGCAACAAATGTGGTAAACCGGGTCATTTTGGGAGGGTATGCAAGTCTTCGACAAAGGCAAATGTCCTACAATCTCGTAGTTCGAATGTCCACTTTATGGCCCCAAGAGCGGACAATGAGTCATCTGATGATGAGTATCTTTTCACCCTTGGAAACTCAAGTAGAAAAGTTCCAGTAATTACTAATGGTCAAAAATCCAGATGATTGTTGACTCTGGGTCAACTGTAAACGTCTTCGATTCAGACACATTTGACTTGTTAACAAAAAGATGTCCAGTAAAACTCCTAAAATCTTGGGTTCGTGTATTTCCATATGGTGCCGAGATACCCATTCCAGTGAAAGGGCCCATCACTGTCACTGTCTCATCGAAAGCTACCAACGTGAGTACACATGCAGAATTTTCAGTGGTTCAGAACATGCATAGTGGCTCTCTCTTGGTTAGAGTGGGACCGCCTACTATTTACACTGCAGTCAATTGTGTATCACCACAAAGCCCAGTGGACAGGATCCTGTCTAATCATTCCAAAGTGTTTCAAGGAGTTGGCAAGTTGACTGATTATCAGCTAGTCATCCACACTGATGCCAATGTAATGTCTGTGGCCCAACCTCAGGGCCGCCGAGAGGGGGGGGGGGGGCAAATTGCTCCGGGCCCACAGGTTCTGGGGGCCCCTAGAAACTTTTTGTTGACCCCCAGTCATTTTTTTGGGTGAAATATTTCCTCGCAAAGGGCAAAATATTTGGGGTTTTTGGGCAAAGTACCGGAATTTGGCATGAAAAATTAAGGTAAAGTCGCTGGAAAGCAATTAGAACGTACTCGTCCGGAAAAATTTCCCCCCAAAAAGTTGGCCCCTAAAAAAAGTTGCCCCGGGCCCCCGCCAAGCTCTCGGCAGCCCTGCCCAACCCTTAGGACGTACCCCATTTCATGTTTGGAAAGATGTTGAGATGAAATTGAAAGAACTGCAAGACCTCGACATAATTGAAGACGTCGATGGTCCCACTCCTTGGGTGCCCCCATTAGTGGCGGTTCCAAAATCAAATGGAGATAGCCGAGTCTGCGAGGCCATTCTTCGTGAGCGCCATACAATACCAACCCTTGAGGAAACTCTGCAGGACATTAATGAACCGCCGTTTTTTCAAAACTGGATCTACGGTGGGGGGGGGGGGGGTATCATCAGGTTAAATTGACGATTCCCCTTATAACGTTTTCGTAGCGCTTTGCATTGTGTTTATAGTAGTATCACTAATATTCAAGATGGCTTATTTTTTCCTGACCCGTGCAAGAACTTAAAAATAAAGCTAGGGTTAAGTGCGAGATAGCCAACAGCAAAATATTCGCGAAAACATTAAATATTTTCATTCGAGGCCGCTATCTTTATCAGTGATACCACTATAACCACAATGCAAAGCGCTACGAAAACGTAATAAGGGGAATCATCAATTGCATCCAGATTCTCGAGTTTTAACTGCCTTTTCCCCACACATTGAGGCTAAAGCGATACAAACGTCCGATATTTGGATATTTTATCCCAAGTTTTGATTCGCTGATCAAAGCGATTAAGCAAGCGAACAAAATTTTATTGTCTTGTTGTCTATTTATCCAACTCCTTTTGTTTGTTTTAGAAGCTAAAAGTAGGAGTCGCACTGCAACCGGCCCCTGAAGGTCCGTTCACGAGTGATCATGTAATCGACAATATATGCCCATGTTTGGATCTTGGGTGCGTCCAAGTAGCCTTATGGGCATCCTTCTGACGCGAAATGGTGTTGCAGATGAGCAATTCAAAGCCAGTGAAAAGCTGGAGGTGAATTAATATTCATCTTGCGAAGACCATACTTCCCTAATGCAGGCAAGGTCTCGTGATCTCGTCCCACTAAAGGGTTAAAAGCACGAAGAATTAGAATCTTATCAGTTTTTGGAATCGAGGTATGACCTGAGATCTTGGTAGAAAGTCATGAAGGATTCCTCGCCGCTATCAAGAGCGATATATGTATAGTTGTTCAGTTATCTTGCTCCTGCTTGTCATTGGACATCAAAGGAGCGAGTGCTATGCCTGTCGTACAGGTGCGTAACATGGTCATCCAAATGTACAGATATCTTTTCAAGTCCCACGGTGATCCGTCGAATCAGATCCGTCGCAAAGAGGGTAAAGCAGGGAGTATATATTTCTTCCGTGTTGTTGAGCACTCTACGGAGTTGTTAATGGGCCGGTGTGTATTACCAATGATGCAAAGCTCACTTCCCTTGTTGTTGTTTGAACACTCTGGCCTTTTACACTCCGCACATTTCTGCATGGTTGCGTTGAGTCGTGTCGTACCACATGCCTTGGTGAGAGCTAGTTCATGCGATATAAATACGATTGCATCGCGTATCTAGACGTCTACCTGCAAGCTGCACTAACGAGGCGTAGACCGCCGAAACATGCATGTCTGCAGATTGTAAAACAGTCAAAATATAGAACAAAATATATATTTAACGTTTCGGGGCCATACCTTCTTTGTAATTGCATCACTAACACGAACTTCTTTACATAAATCTTGCAATCGTTGCACAACATTTCTATACAGCGTTGAAGTGTCATTCGGCATTGGGTGGACATCTGTATCTTGATTATTTACAATTGCTGCTGAGGTAGCACCACTGGCTATGCATGTTGTAGTTAGAGAAACAGCATTGATAGTAATCAAACGTAACTTCAACCATAGTAACTAGAAAGTATTAAATATTTTTATATTTATATAGCTCTTCCCATTCCAATTGTTCAAACTTGTCAATAAAAATGTTTTCAACCATAGAATTTAAAACACTTCACAATAGACAACTTGCATGTTAGACGGAGTCACAGGATAATGCGGCAGCATTTGACTGCATTGCAGCTTACATAATAGGTTCATTGTTGTTTTGTTTCCTTGCAACCAAAAACAATTCAAAATTGGCATCCTTGCAACAAAAAACATTCAAAATAGGCATAAGCCTTTTGTAATATATATACTAAAACTGTCTGTACCAGTGTTGGTATTACCAAAGTGAAAATGCTGTGCTGAGTGGTTATATTACTACCTTAAAAAATAAGCAGAAACTCGACGTTTCGAGCGAAGGCCCTTCGTCAAGAGTTAGTAGAATTAGTAACTCTTGATGAAGGGCCTTCGCTCGAAACGTCGAGTTTCTGCTTATTTTTTAAGGTAGTAATATAACCACTCAGCACAGCATAAGCCTTTTGTACACTTTTCTAAGAAATGAGAAATGTTAATAATTTTTAAATCCATATTCTGATCTTCCAAATTTTCCCTGCTGCAAAACCTCAATTAGCTCAAATAATTCTCAATTTTTTTTTCAAAATCTCAGCGTTTATGATGGTTAAAAAATTTACATAGAAATTAGATCTTGCTACGGATTTGACACAGAAAAGCAGCCAAATTTGCTCACAAATTGTGCACTTGATTGCCATTATGGTTACATAAAAATAATAATTCTCCAAAAAGCATCACCCTGAGCCAATGGCATCTCCGTATGCTTATTAGCTCTTCATACCTCATGCTGGAAGGAAGTTGTCTTTGCTTCTTTACAGAAAACTCTATAAAAAAAGATATGACATTAACATATACTCGGGAGGTGGATAGTGCTTTTTGCAGAAATTGGTTGGTTGCTTCGGATATCACCTCAGTGTCGGTGAACGTTAAATCTTATTGTAGATCCTTAAATGGCAATTTATCCCAATGTCATTTTTAGTTTGATTAATACTCAAAGAAGAAACACTGGCACTACATTCCCCATGTACTTAGGAAAATAGATATTTAAATCAAGACTTTCTCTGACCAAACAATTACATTAATTTGTTTAGTTTCACTTATTTAAGAGTACGTCCAGTTTGATGTGGCTGTTGCTTATTGGTTGTCTTCCCTTGTGTCCCTCTTGGTTGGTTATTGCAAGGTTCGCCTTGATTTCTCCGTAGTCTCTCTTCACCTTTTTCAGCTTTCACGGACATGATATTGTAATGTTGCAACTTCACATCCACTCTTTGATCATTGCTTGCGTTTGACAACCGCAGCTTACCAGATCATATATGCCAGCATTATATTTTTACAATTTAGAATTTTAATTGCCAACTTCAATTTATTTTTAATATCCAATGGGTGGTCCTTAATTATATACGTTCAAACTTTACAAAGTTTTCTACAAGGTGAGATTGTTATTTTTTTTGTATTCTACATCAGAGTTTATTGTTAAGCGGCATTTATCATAATAAAATTAACCATTACTACTTGAGAAATGGTTGCATCAAAAGGTTTCATCTTTCCACCATTCACAACAAAAACAAGTCATTTTCTGTCCTTGTTGCAGATTTGTTTCCATGCAATGTCTTCGTTATTCATGGTTGAATGATTTTGCTTTCTTGATTCTGTTACCAAGTTTATTTTGCAACAAGGTAATGTTTTGGATTTATGCTTTGCTTCCCTCTTTTTATCAGTGAGGGTGAATAATTGTATTAGTTTGTTAGTTATTCATCGGCTAAACCCATTCCAAATTATGAAACACTATGCCAAAAATTCCGTAATTCATATTCCGGCTATTTACACCCGGGGAAAGAAAAGCGAAGTCTAAAGTGGTGCCATGGTATATGGGTAGACCATTGAACTGTAAATAAACTGGAAGGCTAACTGCCATGATGAAGGTCTATGATTCGTTGAAGCCGACGCGCGGGAAAATCAGCTTCCAAAAGACTAAGGAGAGTTTCGAGGAGTGAAAAAAATTCGGTCAAAAGTTTGCTTTTGAGCAAAAATTTGCAAGAAAAACACTTTTTCCATGGGAATACTACAATGATTGGGACTCCAATCTGGTTTTCCGATTAGTTCCGACTGTTTTACATCTCTCTGCAGTGAAAAGTGAGAAAACCTCGCTCTTCAACTCAAAGAGATTCACTATAAAATATTTTGACAATCCCAAAACTTAGTTTATACTAAACCCCAGGTATTGGTATTGATCATTGGTATTGATCCTTAGTCCTTGTTTTATTCCTTCGAAAACATGAATAAATTGACGTTTTTGAAGTTATTTTCGTCATCGCATCTTCTTGTTGGCCACTATAGCACTTTGAATATGGCAATATTTTTGTCAATCTTAAAATGCATTTTTTTCGACCCTAAACGCTCAATCTTCTTGAAACTTCACATACAGATGTATTTACTTAGGTTGAAATAATTCCTGAGGTATGACGTCTTAGTTTCATCTTACACCTTCAAAAACTCAAAAAAGCAACCTAAAACGCGCGGCTTTCTCGACCGTTCATGCTTATGGTCGTGTTTTTTTCGTATTTTTGCTTATTTGTGATTTGTTTGTTGTGCATATCAAATTAATATTAAATTCGTGTATCATACTACTGATATAAATTAAATTGGGTGATATAACTGGTATTTTGGAGCAAGATTTAAGTCATGTAACTGATTAAAAATGTGCATATTTTGGAGAAAAAAATTTAAAAAAGGACTGGGTCTACCTACAAAGAAAGCTTCATGCACGGCTTCGACTGCCCCCCCCCCCCCTGACTTAGGCTATGTTTACATTGTACCGGATCACTTTGCGTCCGACGCAAAAACCATACCGGATAGGGCTTCTGTTTACATATGAAATGTTGTTATCGTCTCAATTTCTGCAACGAACCGGTGGTGCAGCGGTTCGCTCTTTGAAGTGGTGCGCGGTGTATCGGATCGGTTTTTGCAACGCTCTCATTGTAATGTAAACACCAATCGGAGCAATTTCGTTCCAATGCGTGACTCAAGATGGAATCTGGCAGATTCTACTTGGGCCGTAACTTTTCGCGAACGAAACAAAAACTGATCCGATACAATGTAAACATAGCCTTAGCCTTCCAGTTTATTTATAGTTCAATGGGGTGGACCTCCACACTGATCTAAAAAATATGGCGGATTGTCAGAAGTGGAATAAGGAAGATTTTGAATTTCAAAGACATATATTTGGAAAATCGTCATATATAAAACGAGCGTAATATGGGAAAGAGTGAAATATACAGCAAGTTTGTTTTGCAAGCTTAATGTTTATGAATTTTGCTGCTTTACTATTTGCCTAAAAAGATGTTTTTCTTTCCAACGAAGCTGTAATTTTCCTAAATTACCCTGTTTATTTTAAGGAAAAAAACTTAAAATGTAAAAGAGAGACAAAAAACAGTCCGAACTTGTTCCAAAAACAAATCAAACAGCATCACTTTTCACTTCGCCGCACGCAACGCCTTTAACGATTACGCTATTAACATGAACTTGAATGATGTGATTTCTTGCACTTCACTTGGTGGAATTAAATCAACCCTAACATTCTAATACGCTATTAACAACCTCGTTTAACATAGGGGTGCAAATTTTTTTTCAATACTCTTAATTGAAAAATATCTATATAATCCAGCCAGATAGGTTAGATGGAAAACACCGAGTCGGAGTTCCGGAGTCCCGGAGTCTGACGTCATAAAAATATGGAAAACACAGAGTCTCACGTCAGAGAAAAATATGGAAAACACGGAGTCATATGGAAAACACGGAGTCCGCCGTAAAATATAGAAAACATACGGAGTCTGACGTAAAAAATATGGAAAACACGGAGTACGACGTATTGTCAACGTGAAATACGGAAAACAGTAATTAAATAATATATAATTTATGCAAATATAAACAAAGCGAACGAATTTCTGGACTAATTCTGGTTATTTCTCTAAAATGCCGTGAAAATATGGATTCTTTTTAAATAAAATCAAGCAAATAATATTGTTTCTCCTATCGTGTGACTTGTTCAGTCGTATTTGAAGTGATTTTAATGCGTATTTTGTTCACCTCATATGGTATGTTGACTGTTGTTTATAAAATAGTTTATATACTGCTAGAATATTTCATAGTCAATTTAACACTGAAAACTTGACACAAAACAGATATGTTGCTTGGAAACAGCGTGCAATATTGCTATTTACTTAAATAATTAGCAGCCAGGCAGCAGTCACAAATTGATGCAGTATTTTAGGTTTTCATACTGAATTAAATATCATGCAATATCATAAGTTGCAATCAAGCCATTGATATTTGACTGATCAAGATAGGTGTATTAACTGATCATTTGTTCCAGGCTTTCCATGATACAAGTATTTTAACTTGTCCAAGTTTAACCCATTCAGTGGCGGCACTCACCCCTGATGAGGCACTAAATTAATGAAGAGGCACCAGATTATGGGGCACTAAATTAATAAATTTGCTGTTTTTGTAGATTTTCGTCCAAGCAAATGAATTAAGTTAATAACAGAATAATGGTGCTGCCACATTCATGTAGTTCTAGAGAGCATTAATTGCATGGTTTAATTAAATTAACACCTATATGGCTACAAAAACAGTTGGTAGAATATTTTCACGTCAACACAATGACATATTTTATTGAATTTTATACTATTTTAGTCATTTTTGTGCCAATACCACTAACTATTGGGCTTCCTATGATTTACCATGCAAACCAGTTCTTATTTACAAATTGTATATTAAAGGGAAATCTGTTTCATTCTAGATTTGTTTTACTTCGTAATTTTTTCCAATTATTAGCAGGTATATAGGGGATGTTTATATGTAAGGTAAGCCAGCCCAGGTACTGGATTACGATACTAAGGCAAATTTTACTTATTGTACCAGCCAGTATGAGCAGTCCAGTTTTTATAATGGATCAATCCATAATTGATATTTGACAAATCAACCATTTGCCTAAAACTGCATGAATGTGGCAACACCATTATCCTGTCATTAACTTAATTCATTTGCTTGGACAAAATCTAAGAAAACAGCAAATTTATTAATTTAGTGCCCCATAATCACTACCAGTGGTTCTGCATCATCAGTTCACAATTTTATTTTGTAAGACCAAAAATCGCTTTCAAAAGCATAGTCATACTTCATGAAATACATCATTTCTATATTAACCCTTTAATAATTAAATGGCAATACATGTTCCCAGATGCGCCCTACTTTATTATTTTACTCTGTCTAACACCAGACGATTTTACTCATCAGGGGTGAGTGCTGCCACTGAATGGGTTAAACTTGGTTAAGTTAAAATGCTGGTATCATGCAAAGCCTGGAACAATGATCAGTTAATACACCTATCTTTATCAGTCAAATATCAATGGTTGCAACTTATGATATTGCATGATATGTAATTCAGTATAAAAACCTAAAACTTATATAGTGAAATCATTTTAATGCCTTTAATATACTGCACAATTTGTGACCATTGGATGGCTGCATATGTTTAAGTAAATAACAATATTCCACGCTGTTTCCAAGCAACATATCTGTTTTGTGTCAAGTTTTCTGTGTTAAATTGACTATGAAATATTCTAGCAGTATATAAACTATTTTATAAACAACAGTCAACATACTATAGGAGGTGAACAAAATCCGCATTAAAATCACTTCAAATACGACTGAACAAGTCACACGATAGGAGAAACAATATTATATGCTTCATTATATTTAAAAAGAATCCATATTTTCACGGCAGTTTCGATAAATAACCACAATTAGTCCAGAAATTCGTTATAATTCGTTCGCTTTGTTTATATTTGCATAAATTATATATTATTTAATTACTGTTTTCCATATTTCACGTTGACAATACGTCGGACTCCGTGTTTTCCATATTTTTTTTACGTCAGACTCTATGTTTTCCATATTTTACGGCGGACTCCGTGTTTTCCATATGACTCCATGTTTTCCATATTTTTCTCTGACGTCAGACTCCGTGTTTTCCATGCGACTCCGTGTTTTCCATATTTTATGACGTCAAACTCCGGCGGGACTCCGACTCCGGAACTCCGACTTCGGGGCTCCGACTCCAGAACTCCGACTTCGTGTTTTCCATCTAACCCAGCCAGATAGATTTGGGGGCTGTTTATATGGAGTGAGCCAACCCGTATATACCTGAGCTGGTCCAGTTTTGGCGAGATCC